GTGCAAATAATCTACTGAAACTTTCCTGCCCTTGGCGATATGTGGGAAGCGGTCCAGACACGATGATCGTTGCTTTAGGCGCTGTGCTGTGTACCGTCTCGATCAGGCTCTTGTAGTCCTTCTTCAGAAACTCTGTCTTCCGCAGCCTGATGTCGTTCGCTCCCGCGTGCAGCACAACAGCTCCGACGCGCTCGTCACTGTTCAGGATCTCGGGAACACGAGCACCAGGAAAGCAGTGAGTGCGTACCTTACCCTTACCTGAGGTAGCACGGATATGACGGACCATGGACGTGCCGATGATCACGGCGTCGTCGCGTTCCGACTCGCGGAGAGGGGAGAAGCGGTTCCGGGTGGAGATTTCGAAGACCGGGAGAGGTGGAGAGGTTCTAGCTCTGGTCCTGGCTCGCGTCTTCCGCTGTGGGTTCACCCAGGGTCCATGGTGTTGTGTCGGTGCCTGAGTGAATGAAGCCAGAGATGATCCTACTGGGCAGAGAAACGCACAGAGTAGACGAAGTCGAAGTCAAAGAGTTACTAACCACTGAGTTGTGAGCATCGGCGCGTGATGTTTCAAGCACTGATCGCCAATCCAGCAGCTCAGCTTGCTTCTCCAGCAGACCACGGATCTGTTTCTGCACTGATTCCAGCTCCAACTTCACAGAGAACAGCTTGAATATGTATAATTATTATTATGAATTATCATGAATTCATGTATAAATTCATGCATGAATTATGCATTCATTCATGCATTAATATATCATGAATCATCAGGAACTAACAAGTTCAATGTTTTTCATTCATGACTTCATGGATGAACACCTTAATTAAAACGTTATCTAAGAAGAGCACATCATCATGAATTATGATTTATTACGCATGATCATTGTTTTCTTTGTTCACAGTTATGCCTCCATTAATAGCACATTGTTCTTTGTTCACAGTTATGCCTCCATTAATAGCACATTAGTGTTTCAAAGGACCTAGTCACCGCTTTAGTGGAGGGGCCACACACAAAGTCATTGATAGATATGCCGTTGTGTTGTTCATCCATGAAGTCATGAATGAAAAACGTTGAACCCGTGTTAGTTCCTGATGATTCATGAGATATTAATGCATGAATGAATGCATAAATCATGCATGAAGTTATACTTGAATTCATGATAATTCTTGTACCCTTACCGTAAAGTGTTACCTTTTGTTTTCTTCTAAAGTGTAGGAAACTCAGAAGTGAAGACCAGGGGCTCGTTCTTCGTACGTCGCTAACTCAGTTAGCTGGATTTGATTGTTGGCGATTTGCCATGATCTTGGATCGTTTGGTTCTTCGACGCTCATCCTGGACTTGCTGTCATAGCAACAGGTCCGTCAGCTTGAACCTGCTTGCGAGCAGGCTTATTTCATGTAAACAGGATTAGATCGCGGCTGATACAGGAAGTCCTTCAGCGCAGCGCGATAGTGTAGCCTAATTTCTGAGATTTATTTATTTTTTCTCGTGAAACGATCATCGTGAGGGTGTCGTTTAAATACATTATTATTTTGTTGGAAATGCACATTAATGTTCGATTTGATGTCGGGCTTCAACAACAGTACAAAATGTTTGCATTGCCCTAAAATTATTTGCGAGTGGCTTCCTTTACACTATTGGAGATGCGGAGAACTTGATAAGCTTTCTGTTGTGCCATTCACAAAGTAGTGCTCTTAGTTTTTTTTTGTTTTTGTTTTTTTGCCAACTTAGGGTATATTATAATTTTTAATGAAGATAATGCAATCATGATGACCATGCCGATCATAATTTACAGTCCCTCAGGCTTAACTTACGTTATTGGTGCCATACACTGTAGACTACATGTTCCCATCAAGGCCTCAATGAAGGGATTTTGTGAGCAGAAAGGGGGCTTATACAGTGCAGCCAAATTACTATTACAATTTTTAATATTCCAGATTTGGAATATTATATCACTTTTTTTAAAAGGCATTTGACTTAAGTAAAATCTTTTAGATGGTGTGTGACCATGTTCTATATCACAAATCAGTGTGAAAGCAAAATGGCCAGGATCTGTGCATGACTCAAGAATTTTAAGAGATTCACATTTATGAACATTATTTGAACATGGTAAGGAAAATTATAAATATCAAACTCACGGTATTACATACACTTATGCTGAGAACTGCATTTTTCCATTATACAGGTGATTACAACAGGATCCTGCATGGAGACAGGTGTTTTATGACCCCATTCCCTGACCCAAACCCCAGACCAGTTACAATGTAGCTCTAGGACAAGGGCACACAATGACATGAGCTTTGGCCAACTAAAGGGAAGATTTCAGGGTCTAAAAAGCCTGAGGGTTGCACCTGACAGGGCCTGTGACATTGCATGTGCCATATTACACAACACTGCCAACTTCAGAAAAAGAAAAAAAAAAGTTTAATTAAGCCTAAAATAAAAGACAAGACAAATTTGCAAAACTCTATTTGCTTAGAGTTTTTTTTCAATAGTTCTTTGTAAAGAAAAGCCAGTTATTCAGTTAGTCATCTTTTTAAAAGATATTATGCAAGGTCAGCAATAGTACTCTGTGTGATTTTACTCTGAAGTTTATTTTGAAGCAACTCTATTTCTAGTGCAATTTTTTCTCAGTCAAGTTCTGTTTCTCCCCCTGATTTTAGTTTTTTCAAAATACTCTCTTTTTCTGTTGAAGACTCATATAGGGAACGAATTTAACCCTGTGTCGTTTGTGTCACACATGCCTCATGCAACAAATAAAAAGCAAAAGTTGTCTCTACACTGCCCACCCCTGTATCACTGCTGTGTGCAGACTCTTCTGTTCATGTGGACTCCTGTCAGAAATAATAGGCATAGGCACAAGTAGAAATCAATTAAAGCCATCAATTAAATTAAAGTACTTCCTCCAAAGGACAGTCATCTGAGAAGTTTTCTTCACTCTCCAGTGCAATGTGATTGATAACTCATGGTCAAATATTTTTACATTAACATAAGTTTATCAGTTTTTACAAAGCAATTTATCATTACTCAAGATTTAACAGTTGAAATGACTAAACCAGCCAATTTGGATTATAGGTCTACTTCATTTAATGCAGCAACAAATTATTTCACAGTGTACAAAGATAATTTAAATCTCATTTCCCAGTCATGGTGTTGCTGCTACTGGTCCCTGATGTGGGTCTGGAAGAGCTGAACCCAGGGATGCCCTTCACAACAGGCCAATTCACATTCAACCCAAGGGTCAGTTCTTCTGCCAGGTTCAGGAGCATCATTATTATTTTTTTCTCAGCCTTTTTCCTGGTTGCTTTTATAAACAGACAATAATTTATTTAACAGTGCCTTTTTAAAAGAGACTAGTAGGCCTATAAGGCCTAAAATTACCATTAAGTAGAATATTTTTGTACTTCACTTTCACCATGTCCATTATTATAGTGTGGTGACTCGACATTACAATGAACAAAGTAATTATGAAATTATGAAAATAAAAATAAAATAATAATAAGTTATTAAAACATCTAACATGGCCACCACAAACTCATTTAATTTGTCTTCTAGTTTTGCCAGCACTCTCTCCTGGCTTTTGCACACTTTGAGGTATTCCCTGGCGTTTTAATTAAAGACTGAAATTCGGCATAACCTTGCATTAAAAGCGCTTGCTCTGCTTGTGAGAAAAACTGGGCGTGTTCTTTGGCCATGCTGAACAGCCAATAGCAGCGCTGCTGATCACTGGTTCTGCTATCGATACATGTCCCCTTTTAAACCAAAGCGAGAATGCGCAGTTATCTCAGAGGACTCAATCCAGCGATACTAATCATAAACAACAGGTGTGTTCGAAGAACCCAATTAGCCGGATCATGATTAGCACGATGATATCATCTTAGATGTCTCATTTGATCTCGGATGTTTTAAGCAACGTACGAAGAACGAGCCCCAGGAGACTTGGTATCTTCAACAGGATTCTTTATTGAGAAACACAAGCTGTTGGTAGCTGCAATCATTCGTCAAATCTAAATAAGTGAACGTTCCCTTACAATATATATACATTTAGTGGTGGGGAGCATGTAAATGAAGTATACCAATTCAGGAAACCTGTCCTAGATCGAGAGCGATCCCAATCCAATCAGCATAACCTTTCAAACGCTGAGACGCGAGAACAAGGTTGGCAGAACTCTCTTGCTGAGACAGAGGAGCTCCAAGAGCCATTTAAGAGTTTCAGTAATCTAACCAATACACAAAACAGGACTGGCCAGTTTCACACCTGAACTTTTGCAGTTTATATACTATTGTACTGGAACCTATAACATTTAATAAATTTGTAACACATTGTTTGCAGTATTTATATTATTTGCATATTTATAATATCAATATTATTTGTGCAGTTGTACATTTGTTATGTTGTGTACCATACATGTTAACCGCCTGTTGATTTAATGCAGTTGATTATCCCTAATTGGTAATTACAAAGAAAAGGGTGAATATTAGTTTTAATGTGAGCACTGAAGAAAGAAACGTGTTGAAATGTCTGCTTGTGCTTGTCTAGCATTCAATTCACTTGCAAATTAAAAAAATATATATATAATATAAAATAATTTTTGCTAGACTTTCACTAGTCTGGACTGAATTCAGTGTGCACTTAGCAATTTTGTTGTGTCTTTGTGTCTATGAACCTGAAGCAAAAGGATTTATCATCTATTCGAAGCACAACAATATCTTCTAGAATATCTGAACGTTTAAATTATCTCACCAATACTGATGTAGCTATCTCTCCTATCGCTGTCTTTGATCTTGAAATAATCAGGTTTTTGTCATGATTTGTTATTATTGTGCTGCCCTTATTTAATTACAGATATTAAATGACCTGTGTGGTTCTAAGTTTACAAAACAATTAATAATATATTTGTGTATTTTTTGTGAGCAGTGAATTGCAGTGGGTGTTTGAGAGAACTTTTGGTACTGTTAACATAATTTGTGTGAAACATAGCTGACTAGTTGTGTCTCTTAGGTATCTCCATGAGTCTAGTGGAGTCTAAAGATGGCATTCAGCACTTCACCTTTGAACATAATCGTGACTATCAGCAAGTCCAGTTCAAGTTTTTTGATGCAGTCGAGTCAATGGACCCCAACAACATTGTGGTAATTTTAATCTAACATGCTATTAGCTGTGGACTGATTAGATTTTTTTAATGCACACATATGTGACAGATGTGTTACCTAATGTATGTGATGCTCCGTTTCTCTCTTTTTTATTTTTTTTCTTCAGGTTCTTCTGCAACTCAACCCATATCATATTGATTCACTCCTGCAGCTGTCAGATGTATGTCGCATACAAGAAGATCAAGAGACAGCCAGAGATCTCATCGGTGAGAAAATTCACTGATGTGCTGAATATGAGTAGGGCTGTAGCTATCGATTATTTTAGTAACCGAGTATTCTACAGATTAGTCCATCTATTAATCGGATAAAAAAAATCTTGATAAAAAAAATGGATGGCTTTTAAAATGACTTAAAATACCAAAATTAAAAACAAGCAATAATAATTGGTTCAAATAAAGTATCAAAGTAAGTAATCATATGGGTTTTATTGAACAACCAACACCATGCAAAATAAATGATATAAACTAGAGCTGTCAGTTAAACTCGCTATTAATGGCGTTAACGCAAACCTATTATAACGCAATTAATTTTTTTATCGTGAGATTAATGGTCTTTTTGGTTTTTTTTACATGCTTTTGCAACAGGATGCGGCATGTGCGGTGCTGCGCTAAGAAACCCATTAATTTCAATGGCTAAACCACACACCGCGGTCAAATTTCAAAATAGCTGTCGATTACAAGATTACACGTCTAATTGAAACTTTTTGGCATCCAAAAAGTTTTGAAACCTGCCGTAGTGCCGTGCATTCCGCGTCCTGTCTGAAAGTACTGGATCTAGCTAGACGGGAAACACACTTGTTGCGAGCCGGCCGAAATAGTAGGTTAACGTTACATTTTGAGTGGATGATGAGCGTGAGACGCTGAAATGGATGCCAATAAGATTCTGAATAAAAAGTGTACTTTTACTTTTTGACGTTGTGAACTGAGCTATCATTGATGGCCAAGCACACACACAGCTGATGCTAATTCTCCACCCCCTCGTCAATATCAGGACCTCGTCAGTATTTCTTTCACCCTTTTATTGATACATTGTGTGAGAGATTATTTGCTCCAAGTGAGAATGTTTTAGTGTGAAATTGAACACAGTATTGTCAATGTTGTTATCAATAAAAAACATTTGCACAAAGCAAGCCGATCCACTTTTTCATGTTGATGAGCATTAAAATAATGCAACAAAAATGCATTTATAATAGATAAAAATGCGTGTTTTTTTATCGTAATTAAATTTTAATCGTTTGACAGCACTAATATAAACATAACTTATGTACATTACTATAAAAATGCCTGCAGAGGCGCCAACGCCCTGGTAGTAGTTGTTCTATACTTTTCCATAATGTTTAACTTATATCTTTTCTTAAATGCATTAATAGTTCTAGAGCTCTTAAGTTGAATAAGAAGACTGTTCCATAAATCAACTCCTTTAACTGATAAACACCTTCTCTTAGTATTACTCTTCGCCATGGGTTTTTGTAACAAATCATTTCCTCTGAGGCTATATCTTGATTCTCTGATTCGAAACATCTTTTGTAAACAGTGAGGAAGCATGAAATTGTAAGCCTTGTACATCACAACTGCTGTGTAAACATCAACAAGATCAGGAAATTTGAATGTTTAATCTAATGAAAAGTGGATTTTTTGGGGCAAGATATTCAGCATAGCTAATCACTCTAATAGCTTTCTTCTGTAATAAAAAATAAGTTGTATATTAGTTTTATAGGTATTCCCCCATATTTCCACACAATAGCTAAGGTTTGGAAAGATGAAGGAATTATACAATATATATAATGCTTTTTGATTCACAGAGGTTTTTGTTTTACACAGTATGGCAATAAGTTTTTAAATTTTAGTCTTTAGGATATTTATATGCACCCTCCAATTTAACTTATCATCAATATTAATTTCCAAAATCTTTAGTTTTGAAACAAAAACTTTGAAGTTTATTTGCTTCAAACCATTTTCTCAGTCTCTTAAGAGGATGTTGACAATGTTTAACGTTTAGTACATTTTGCTTAGGCTACTATTAAGAATAGTATAAAAGTACTGTACATTATTCAAAATGTTTTCATTACAATATTATTAATTTTACTTTAGTAAAAGATCTGAGTTCTTCCTCCACTGGTAGAGATTAGAGGAATTAATACTAAAAATAGAAGATAAGGTTTTGTCAGTGACATTTTTGATATATTTATTGATACAAGTTATGTTTTATAGCTACAACGTGACTAAATTAAAAGGCAAAGTTGTTAGTGAAGATTATGTAACAGTATTTATAATATAATATAACGTGCAGTGCAAAGTTTGCACTGCAAACTAGTTTGGTTACAGCTCAAATTTATCATTCTCGTTCTATCATTTACCCTGTTTCCATTACACATCTTTGTCACACAAGTGTTTGATCACCACATTTGAGTGATCATTGCAAAAACATTTATATATTTATTCTGATTATACTTTCTATGACTGGTACTGTACTATAATACACATACATAATATTGCTACTGTATTATAATATACACATAAATAATATCGGCCGATATGTGACCGGACACTGAAACCAGGGACACAAGTCGGCAGCACGACTTATGAGCAAAATGAGAAAGAGGCTTTTTTTTTTCCAAAATTGGTGATTTCCGCTTTTTTGCAGAATCTGTTAGTTGAGATTATGAAGAAGCCTCTCCATTTTTTAGATAACAGTATTGGTGTATTTAAAAGCGTACATTTTGCGGTTGAAATCGGCTTGTTTTTCTGAGATTCTAGCACACAATAGGTCATGGTCTGTGCATTATTGGATAAGCCGGCTTTTGCCCCCGCCCTCCATGGGAACAGCGTGGCTGTTGGACACCACAAAGTTGGTCGCAGACGAGCTGAACCGTGGCCGTTGCAGCGAAAATATTTTGAAGTACTTCTTCGACGAGCCGGATGCTCATGAACAAGCACTCACTGATTCTGAAGATGACGATGATGTGTGTATATATATATATATATATATATACATACCTGTATTTAAACCTAAGATACGAGCAATAGTGGCCCCTAACTTTTGTTGAAATCTGAGAGGTTTCTGTTTCTCCATTGACTACCACTTTGATGCATTAAAAAGTTCATAAAGAGATCGTAAAATTAATCCATATGAATTGAGTGGTTTAGTCCAAATTTTCAGAAGAGACACGATCGCTTTTTATGATGAACAGATTGAATTTAGGATTTTTACAAAATAGTGAATAGTGAAATCATATGGACATCATAAGCGACTCAAACTCAATGCACTTGCAGAAATAGTGTTTGTGTGAATCCGGCTTTACTATGAACCAAGCTGCTCTGAGACACTGAAAATACGCTGTATTTCATGCTATACATTGATGTTGAAATTAATTATTTTTGACATAAGCTAGAGATGTGTGCTAATTTTTTTAAAAATGGACAGATATATACAGCTTTTTGTTTTGCTCATCTCTGCAGAAAGGGCTTTATATAGTTTTGAGTGTTCATTCCACCCTGTGTTCAGCCTGACGTCTGGCATGTGTCGACTGGACTATCGCAGACCAGAGAACAGGTGAGACCAAAGGCTGTGAGAAAAAATGTAATTAAAGATTTAATGGTATTACCATTATCATTGTTTTTTGGATGCTGTATTGTCATGGTTTTCTTTAAAGAACCTTAAGCCTAGTTCACACTACAGGATTTTTAGCCCGAGTTGCAAGTTAACGAGCTCACCGATAGGTCGAGCTATAATCACATGCACATCTGTGGGTGATTCGTGCTTGCCAATCTTTATGTGTGAAATACTAAACGACGCATCAAAAATTCTTGCTGACACCTCGCATACGCCAGACAAATATCTAGCATGCTAAATATCTGGAGCTGTCAGCCGACTCGATAGCCTTTGGTGTCGCGACGAGCAACAGCCAATGTAGATTAGACAGATTTCAGAAAAATGGCCTTCTATAGTGAGGAAGTGAAGAGCATTTATGGGTACAAGTCAGGAACCAGCCTACTTTACATATTTCAAGGTGCTGAGTCAAAAAATGCTTCCCAAGCGAAATTTTGAGTTTTATACCTTCTAATTTGCATTTAACAATGACCACCAAATTGCATATCTTGCTCAGTCGTTGCACCATTTCCCCCTAGTTTTTTTGTAAGCAGGCAATCAAAATGAGGAAATTAAGTTTCTAGATAGATAGTCAAGGGTCAGCGCAAAGATATGTTGGAGGCTCATTGCCTTTTTATGTATATATATTTGCAAAATTCCAACTTTTAAGGCGAGACATTAGATGAATAAGGTAAAAAAGTTAAATAATAGATATCACAATGAAACTTCCTCAGTTGATTACTTACACAAGTATATAAAAAATGTAGTATAAGTTTTCTAAATTTGTATGTTTAATTATGCAAATTAGGCATTATCTCATTAAATATGCACAATTTTGCATATATTTTCGGTAGATAGATCAAAACATATGATAAAGCCAGGTGCAAAGTTTTTTTTTTTTTTTTTTTTTTTTTTCATTTTGTTTACACACAAGATGAAAAAAATGTTCAGAGGTATTTCAGGATATATGCTTGGATTACATAGGAAATCTAAATGTACTGTCCATACCCTTAAAAAAATAGATTTTTGCCATATTATTTTTATTAAAATGTCACATAAATCAGGCCAGGAATGATTTATTAACAAATCTCACTGAAAAATTGTTCAGAATACAGCTAAGTGTATAACTGGAAAATTTGGTGTACATAGGTGCTAAACAGGCTGAGTTTAGCTGAGTTTAAAAAAAAAAAACTCTTTGAGAAAAAGGCATTTAAAGATTTAATTAGGGAATTGAACACATTTCTATTGAAAAAAAAAAAAACTTGGTGGAAGGGTTTGAGTACCCGAACGACCCTAGGAGCTATGTTGTTCAGGGCTATACGCCCCTGGTAGGATCTCCCAAGGCAAATAGGTCCTGGGCGACGGGTCAGACTAAGAAGTGGTTCAAAAAACCTTATGAGTGAAGAAAAAACAAGGACTGGGACGTCACCCGTTATGGCACAACTAGGGCCCCTCCCTGGAGCCAGGCCCGGGGTTGGGGCTTGTATGCGAGCGCCTGGTGGCCGAGCCTCCCCCCACGGGGTCTGGCTGGGCTGGCCTTCCCATGGGCTCACCACCTGCAGGAGGAACCGTAAGGGGCCAGAGCAGAGAGGATTGGGCAGCAGTCGAAAGCGGGGGCCTCGATAACCCGATCCCTGTACACGGAAACTAGCTCTAAGGACGTGGAACATCACCTAACTGGCAGGGAAGGAGCCTAAGATTGTGCGTGAGGTTCCGACTAGAGATAGTCGGGATCACCTCTACGCATGGCTTGAGCTCTGGAACCACACTCCTTGAGAGAGGATGGTCTCTTCACCACTCTGGAGTTGCCCATGGTGAGAGGCGACGGGCAGGTGTGGGTTTGCTTATAGCCCCCCAGCTCAGCTGCCATGTGTTGGAGTTTACCCCAGTGAACAAAAGGGTCGTTTCCCTGCGCCTATGGTTCGGGGATAGGTCTCTCACTCCTGCCTTCTTTGGGTCTCTGGGAGGGTTGCTGGAAAGTGCTCCGACTAGGGACTGGTCCTCAGTCGGAAAAGGGTGGCTTGCCCACTTCAGGTTGGTGGAGAGATCCTGCCTCAAGTGGAGTTTAAGTATCTTGGGGTTTTGTTCACAAGTGAGGGAAGGATGTAACGGGGGATTGACAGACGGATCGGTGCAGCTTCTGCAGTAATGCGGTCGATGTACCGCGATTTACCTGTCAATCTATGTTCCTACTCTTACTTATAGTCATCAGCTTTGGGTCATGACCAAAAGGACAAGATCCCCGATACAGGCGGCCGAAATGATCTTTCTCAGCAGGGTGGCTGGGCGATCCCTTAGAAATAGGGTGTGAAGCTTGGTCACTCGGGAGGACGTCAGTGTAGAGCCGCTGCTCGTCCACATCGAGATGGGTCAGCTGAGGTGGCTTGGGCATCTGTTCCGGATGCCTCCTGGACGCCTTCCGGGGAAGGTGTTCCAGGCGTGTCCCACTGAGAGGAGACCCCGGGGAAGACCCAGAAACGCTGAAGGGACTATGTCTGCCGGCTGGCCTGGGAAGGCCTCGGTGTCTCCCCCCCAGAAGAGCTGGAGGAAGTGTCTAGGGAGAGGGAAGGCTGGGCATCTCTGCTTAGACTGCTGCCCCCGTGACCCGGCCCTAGATAAGCGATGGATGGATGGATATTGGAAAAAAATAGCTCAAAAACAGAATAAATGCTCAGGTGCTTAGTAATAATAATTTATAATATTTCAAGCTCATGAAAACTGATTATTTAATAACATAGCAGGCATATAAGGCCTACAACTGCAGTAAATCAATGAATTAACATTGGCAGAGTACACCCCGTGATGTGTCTGAGCGAATCACGTCAGCAGAAACCAGCAGTAGCCAATGAGATTTCGTCATTAGCTTTAAATCACCCTTTGGACATTCACGATTGGTTATTGATACAAAGGAAATGCCCATATTTGGCTTACACAGCATTCTACAGGAGACTGAGAGCTTTACAACGATACCGGTCCAGGGTGGGGCCCCAGCTGCGCCATACTGGGCGACGTCACGGTCCTTGTTTTTTCTTCACTCATTAGGTTTTTTGAACCGCTCTTAGTCTGACTCTTCACCTAAGACCTGTTTGCCTTGGGAGACCCTACCAGGGGCGTATAGCCCCGGACAACATAGCTCTCAGTAGCACAGACAATCCCTGTTGGCCGTGTGCTTATCCATCCTTTCACCCATATTCTATTTTTTTCCGGGGTTCTAAACAGATCATTGCGCAAAACAATTTTTTTTTTTTTTTTTGCACCGCCAATTTTGTCCCATCGTCCATTTTTAAATAGACTACTCCTATTTCACGTCATTTGCCTTTCCACTTTTTGCGTGTGTTTTTTCCTGACAAAACATGGTTTGGGGACCGGATAGAGACAGATGTTGTTGTCAGCTCGTGTAGTGTGTAACCCCCTGTTTCAGATCATTTACGTAGTGTGAACACCACAACGACTTCAAGAATCCAGAGCAAGTCATGTAGTCTTAACAGCACAGCGATCTGCCGACATTTAAAGTTGTGTAGTGTGAACTAGGCATTAGGGCACCATGAAGAAAAGCATAACATTTGACTAAATCTCTCTCACTCTTTTCTGTATCCACAGGGCTTTTTATTTGGTGCTGTTCAAGCATCTAATATTTCTGGAGAAGAGAGGTTGTCCCCGCACAGCCCTAGAGTACTGCAAACTGATTCTGAGGTATCAGACCACATTAGAATAATATGATTAACTCATCACATCACATTCATAATACAAAATCCATTATCTAGAGTCCTAACACAATACCTCTGTTAAATTGTACAGATGTTAAGTTGCAAAGTAAAGTTTAAATCTGTTTATTTCACAGATTTTTTTTATCATGTTCAAAGATATCTTATATCATCCATTGCTCGTCATTACCCATCAAAAAAATCTAAATTTTTGTAGAGTGTACTACTTATAATGCATTATAATCTCATAGTATTTCTTCATACTCTTCTTATACTGAACCATGATACCACCATAGTAATTCCAAGATATGTTTGAAGTACCTTAGTATGTAAAAGCTAGTTCACACTGCCTCAATAAATATGAATGTGTAGTAAAACGACACCTGTTTCCCAACATTTTAAAATTAAAACGGCCAACTAGAATGTCTGAAAAGGTGCTGAGATTGTGTTAATACCATCTGACACCATCGCTGTACCATGGTATTGCCACATTCAGCCAGCCAGATGTTTTGTGTTAAACATTGACAGATTTTTTTTTTTAGATTTGTTAATTGTGCTTTCAGTCTGGATCCAGATAATGACCCTCTCTGCATGCTGCTGCTCTTTGACTTCCTGTGCCTGCGCTGTCGCGAGTACACCACCCTCATCCGTCTCTATGAGGAATGGGAGGTAAAGTACTCAACCTTACTCAAATCAAGTCGATAGGTTTTTCCATCAAGTCAGGGATGCTAACTTGTTTTGAATGTAGAATTGGTCATTTGTAGATCCGATGAGTTTTCAAAAATCGGTTGAGGGGTGGGGGTGCTTTTTACATTACCAGTAATACCAACTTAATTCTGGACTTGCTCAAAGATGACTGCTTTTTTTGATCCTGTCCGTATTTATGTGTGTGTGTGCTCTGGTTTCTAAATACAAAGGCTTCTGTTAACCACGTTTTTTGCAGCATCGAGTTTTGTAGCCAATAATATGAATGACTGTTGAAATAAATGGTCAGTCAGAGGTGTTTACTTTAGAATCCGCTCGTCCTTTTAAAACACTTTATTAATTTTCATTTAGCACAAGTTTACTGACTGAGTTTTACACACTCGCAAATTCTGTCTTTATGACAAAGCATAGACACAATGTAAATTGGAGATTCATTGTGCAGTGTGTAGTTCGATACATTAATTATAACAGGAGTTTTCCCGTGAGTCAGCTCAGTAAGTTGTGCTATATAGGGAGCGCCCTTTGCCTGCTTTCCTTATATAATTCTTTCACTCCTTAAAGAAAGGTGTTGTTTGACATGATTCTAAGAGGACCATTTATACTGCAGAGTTTCAGGAGTGAGAAATACATTTAATTACTTTCAGTAAGGTTTACACTGACATTGGTATACATGTTTCTAACTTCAATTGCAAACTTCAATTTATTTGAATAAATATCAAAAATATAAAAGATGTGCATCATGCCTGACACCTACATGAACACTTTACAGTTGATTAGTCACTCTCTCCCTCTCTCCCCTTCAATTGTGTATGAGAAACGTGTATACCAATGTCGTATGTAACTTTAGAGACGGTCCCTAAATGTGCGAATGTCCAACATCAAGCCAACTTAATGCCAGTAAATCACTGGGAACGCTTAGCGTTAAACTTGGCGGGTTAAGTTCATATTCTGAGTCCCATCAGCTTGCCTCTAGCGATATAGTACAGCCTTCTCAATAAGGTGCGAGTTTGGTCTAATAATATTACCTGCTGTAATAAATGTACAATTGTATAGCCAAGTTAAATAATAAAAAAAAAGTCATACCTTTAGATTTTACAGCCAAATGATTCAAAAACATAGATCAGATCGGTGCTTTGGAATTCTCCAAACTGCATCAAACACACATGCAACAGAATAAAACAACAAATTAAAAATACAGACAACTAAATTAATTAAATCCATTTTGTTAGGAAAATTGTATTGCAATTTGTGAAATAAGTCACCTTTCACCACAAAAGCTGGCATGAATTTCTAAATAATCAATTGGAAAATTATTTAGACACAGTGGAGCCTAAAACACAATAATGCAATCAGCCAAGAAAACATTTACCACAAAAACAAAAAACAAAAAAAACTATACATATCAGTTAAAGCTGAAATGCATATGCGGTTGAATATCAACCAATAAGATTCCATGTACAATGTTGCATTTTCATTGGTCAGTCATTGAAGCCTTTTCTGATTGGTTGTCGCCGTGTTGACAGCGTTTATGCAAAGAGCAAAGAGAAAGAAATCGAAGAGAAGAGTACCAAGGCATGCGTGAACGCACGGAACACAGTCTAAGCAAATACGCTTCCCTTAAGCAAAGAGGAGAGATTTGCAATTTCAATCAACACATTTTAAGTGCAGGCATATTCTCTAAGCGAGCCCAGAGAAAATTTTTACAAGAGCACTGTGTATCTGAGAGCGTGCGCCCAGTTCCCACGCGCAAGCATAGCCACGGTGTTAAATAAAAACCTTGGATTATGTTGGTTATTTTCTATTAGTTTGTGGAGATGCTCAGCCCTGGCTGTTTTTAGTGTCTTTTTATAACGTGACATGCTGTCTTTCCACGCGATTCTAAAGACCTCTAAATTAGTTTCCATTTCCAATAGTTTAGGTAAGGTAAGGTATTTGAGAATCTATCTATAGTGGTTGGAAGGATTGTTCTGCCTGGTCTATAACATGGCGCAACATGATATATTTCAGCAGTACGTAATATGCAAGTCACCATGTAATGATCAGTGACGTCATCGCTTTGCGGTATAATATCTATATCAGTTGGATTGGTTCCATATGATATAATTAAATCTAGTGTATGATTTAGACGATGAGTGGGTCCACTGACGTTTTGTTTGACCCCAAAGGAGTTCAATAAGTCTGAAAACGCAGCCCCTAAAGCATCATTTGTATTATCTACGTGTATGTTAAAATCTCCAACAATTATTGCTTTATCGACATTCACCAATAGATCCGATAGAAAGTCTGCGAACTCTTTTAGGAATTCAGCATATGGCCCTGGAGGTCTATACAGTAGCCAAGGCTAGAGATAATGTGGATTTCCTTCTTACATCTAAGAGCGTAACATTTAGCACAAGTACTTCAAATGAATTAAACCTGTGACCTGTTTTCTGAGTAATATTAAAAATTTCTTTATAGATTGTTGCAACACCGCCGCCACGACCGATCAGACGAGGCTCATGTTTATAATAGTATCCTGGTGGAGTAGATTCGTTTAGACCGAAATACTCATTTGGTTTAAGCCATGTTTCAGTAAGGCACAGAACATCGAAGTTATTATCTGTGACCATTTCATTTACAATAACCGCCTTAGGTGTGAGCGATCTAATGTTTAGAAGACCTAGCTTTAGAAATTGTTTTTGTTCACTGATATTTAGATTTTCTGGTTTAATTACAATAAGATTTTTGCTAGATCCTGCACTAGATTTATTGTTTGGCTTCACTAAACGAGGAATAGACACAGTTTCTATATAATGTTCCACACTATGCATATTAGTTAAGTTTGGACCGCAAAGGCTGTGATTTTAACTTTGACTTACTAGTCATCTGGTGCGTAACGTCTTGAAGATGTTGTCCGACAGCATAGCCGCTCCGATTCGGCTGGGATTGAGTCCATCAGCACGGTACAGCCTGGGTCTCTCCCAAAACAGATGCCAATTATTTACAAAGAGCAGTTCTGTTCATTACACAATGACATTAACCATTCATTTAAAGCATATAGTCTACTGAACCTTTCCTGTCCTTGTCTGTACGTGGGAAGTGGTCCAGACATGATAATCGCTGCTTTAGGCGCTGTGCTGCGTACCGTCTCGATCAGGCTCCTGTAGTCCTTCTTCAGAACCTCCGTCTGCCGCAGCCTAATGTCGTTCACTCCCGCGTGCAGCACAACAGCTCCGACGCGCTCGTCACCGTTCAGGATCTCGGGAAACCTGTGCAGCGACATCAAGAACACGAGCACCAGGAAAGTAGTGAGTGCGTGCCTTACCTTTACCCGAAGTAGTAGCGCGGACATGACGGACCATGGATGTGCCGATGATCACGGCGTCGTCGCGTTCCGGCTCGCGAAGAGGGGAGAAGCGGTTCCGGGTGGAGATCTCGAAGACCGGGAGGGGCGGAGAGGCTGCTCTGGTCCTGGCTCGTGTCTTCCTCTGTGTGATCCATGGTCCATGTTATTGTTTCGGTGCCGGAGTGAATGAAGCCCGAGATGATCGCGTCCTCCTGGGCAGAGTAACATACGGAGTAGACGAAGTCGGAGTCAAATAGTTAACGTTACTAACCACTGATTTGTGAGCATCGCCGCGTGATGCTTCAAGCGTTGAGCGCCGATCCAACAGCTCGGCTTGCTTCACCAGCAGACCACGGATCTGTTTCTCGACGTATTCCAGCTCCTGCTTCACCGTGAAGAGCTCGAATGTGTCCTCACCTGCACTCAGAGGTAATGTTAGACACGCATCTGATATATTCGCCATTATAACAGATGAACAGTAAATTAGTAGTGATACTACAACTATCACTACTAATTTAGGACTGAAATGCCGGAATAACCAGGTTTCAGTGAAACGGGTGTAAAATGAGACGGCTAAGGCGAGAGGCCACGCGTGATATGCTAGCGGGCTAAAGGCTAGTAGCCGGGATTCGGAAGGTTGGATATAATTAGCGATATCAAAGCAATCCAATTGTTTTTTATAAGGAATAGTATCGAGGACAAGTTCACATGATATAAAAATAGAAAGTGCTTGTTTATAAATAAGTGGTAAAGAAGAAAATCAAGGATTGGTGAAGAAATTCTCCGGAGCTACAAACACAAACACCGATCGCACGCGCATGCGCAGTCTCTCAGTCACAAGGCTACAACAATTAATAACAATTCCGTACAGGTCCGTGCAATTAATAACAATTAATTTGTGATTAATTGCAGGGATGCACATGTATGCATGTGGGTAGAATTGACAAGCTTCCCTCAATGGGCGATTTATTAACATGTAAGACTGGTCTGATCCAGATCTGTATGAATAATTATTAATTATCAATTATTAATTACGATAGGCAAATTCCCCATTGATCAGACCCAAACAGAGTCTTTACAATACTGTAAAATATTAAAAGCTGGATGTTTTATTTTGTATATGGTATTATCTGCTCTTTGTTTTTGTAAACTGTTTTGTAAAGAATTTTAGCCGATCTAGGTCTGGATTCATAGTGTTTTTGTTTAGCAAAAATCATCTTTTTTCTATTTCTTGGTTATAATAAGTCAATTTGATTTCTGATGTTCTTAGTTTTGGTCCGCAAATTAGAGGTTGGTGCCCTTTTGTTTTGCACTTTTAATTCTTTGTTAAGATCTGTAAGTTTTAATTGTTTTTTTTTTTTCTATTGTAAGCATACCAAGATATAATTTTCCCGCGAAAAACTGCTTTTAAGGCATCCCACACTATTAACGCATCAACCTCTCCCTTATCGTTTTCCTCCAGAAACTGTTTTATTTCCTTTCTCATCTGAGCCACAAATTGTGGATTATTTAAAGCACTTGTGTTCAATCTCCGCAATGTTTTACGTAGACATTTTTGTGAGATTAATATAATTACCCCTCTTCTTTGACCAGTTTTAGGCTATGTTTACACGGAAACGATTCTAAAGAGAAAACGCAA